CAGGGGATCTCGTAGTCGAGCAGTCTCGACTAGAGCTTTCTTACTTGTTTTACTTTTATATTAGAAGCGATTCCATAAAGTATTTAAAATAACCTGTTATACCAACTGTCACATTATTAATACCATTTAAGCCTACCCCAAAATTAGAGGCATGGTAGTTTTTTTTCCGATGGCTATGATTGATTAATTAGCTGGGCCAAAAATAGCTGCAAATGGCAGCCAATGCGGCGACGTGACTTTGCCAATTTTATTTTTACTATGTGACGTTTTGCAGACAGACATGATAAAGCAGACTGCTCTAGTGGGGTATACATGACCAGAAGATACCTCCTTGTACATACCGAAGTGTATTGTGTAAATATTAGAGCTGAAATTTAATTTATAATTTCTATTATGTTTGAATAGAATAGTATTTTTTATTGTCTCAGTCGAACAAGATTAAAGAATGTAATAAATATATATTATTATTATTTTATTATTTTTTCTCTGCTCAAAACAAACCTATTTATATTTTATATTATGTTATTATTTATTATTTTATAGAAATATGATTAAGTAGTGTAATATGCTCTGATAGGGTATCCCTGACTAAAAACTGCATTTGCTTCCAATTTGAACTATTGCTTCGATATTTAAACTTTCTGTATGAGCACAATAATTGTGTATTAATAATTTGTGTAATAGTAAATAATAGCTTAATCATTTATGTATTATTACAATATTTCAATGGTTAATATAATACCATGTTATATGATTTACGAAGTTCCCTTTAATAAAAAAATGTGTTTCGACCTATGTTCGTCTTAAAGCAATACTTGGCGTAATTAATAAAAATGTTGAAGGAATATGTAAAATTGTGCTACTAGTGAAGCTTTCGAGATGTAAAATATATCAATTTTATGGTACACACATAACTGCATATATTGAAATACTTAGCAAAAATATATATCAACTGTATAGTGTCTATTTATAATACCCTTTGCACGAAACATAATACCACAGTGGTGAACCCCTTTTTAATTGGGTTAAGGGTATTAAAAGACGTATTTTATTTCTAAACAGACCCCTCCCTTGTCTGTCCAATTTAGCCGCTGGCCAGGTCAATGGATTTGGGCTCTAAAGTAGGCTAAGCAAATGTGTGTGAGTGTGAGTGTGAGTGCTTATCGGTTGGTTTGATTTTGTTTTAAGTGAAACATGCCATCCAAATTGCATGTATTAAACATTAACCAATATGCATTGATTGGCGTTACCATAAATACAAGCGAAATTAATCAGGTTTTGTCGGCTGTCTGAAGGTCGCCCCGACGACAATACAAAACGCGCCCCAAAAGAAAAGAAGAGAAGATGAAAAGGTGTCGCTGAGCAGAGAAGAAACGCCAACTAATGCAGCGATTGGGTAAAAGTGAATATTCGCAAAGGCTTACAAATGAGACTTGTAAATAACTATAACAAAAAAAATAAAAATAAAAAAAAAAACATACAATTAAAATAACAAAGAAAAGAAGCCCTGGCAACAAACGGAGATGTCTTCATAACCAACTCGGTAGCAGCCCTCAGAGCTATAAACATTATTAATTTAATAACTAAATATGCTAGATTACGCTGCCTTAGCCGAGTTATCCTTGAGCCCGGTATGCAGCTCATCCATTAGCACCGTGGCAAATTTAACAAATTAGTGTCCCATAAACAGTCGTTTATGCATTATGCATACGTGTCTGTATATATATCGTATATAGTCTAACAAGCTTTGGCATTTGCCCTTACACTTGGCCCTTATAATTAATGTGTGTATGGGGCTCTATGCAAATGCGTTGGCGTGTCAGCCGCAGCTCTGGTGCGCCCTATTGGCATTGCAAAACCTTCGGACTGGCCACGCATGCGCCACTCTGACCCCAAGCAGCTGATGCAGATAACAGCGCCAGAGAGCCAACGCAACACGATTGACACAAGGAAAGACAGACAGAGAGAGAAAGAGAGAGGGAGGCGAGGGCCAGCCAGTGAGAGATTTTAATCAGCGCACGGTCTCGCTCTCGCACTTGAGCAACAGCTCCGTCACTAGCCACACAATCTTTAACCGTATTAAAAATCTTCTTCGAGCATACGTTGAGTGTGTGTGCCGTACGTATATTTTGTGTTGGGTATATAAACGCTGGCGCATCTGTTGCTGACCATCATTCAGCGTCCGTCTTTTGGTCACCAAAAAAGCGTCGGCTCAACACAAACTTTCCATAAGCATAACAACACAAGCAACAGCAACAACAACAACAATGGTAAGCACATCAAGTACCGGAGCAACGAGTGCCACATCCATCAGCCAGCTGACCTTAAATCCATTTGCCTTTAACATTGGCCCGCCAATTAGCTAGACATACGCACACACACACACACACACGATTCGACAAATCGCACGTGGATCTGGCTAGCCCATGGACTTATTTTATTTTAATCGCGCTTTTATTACCTTTGATTTACAGAAATTCTTCGTCTTGGCCGTGTTCGCTATCGCCGCCGTTGCGGCTGATGTTTCCCACCTGAATCTGGGCGGTGGCAACGGCTACTCGTACGAGAAGCCATCGCAGTCGTTCGACATCGACATCCGTTCATCGGGACCGGCTCCATCCTACTCCGCACCTGCTCCGGCGCCAATCTACTCAGCGCCTGCACCAGCTCCAGTTTACTCTGCTCCTGCACCAGCACCTGCACCAGCCAATGAGTATCTACCACCTGTGCAAGACGTTTCCGCTCAGGGTCCGGTTCCGATCTACTCGGCACCCGCTCCCGCTCCCGAGTACAGTGCTCCAGCTCCCTCTCTGCCCGCCCCCGAGTACCTGCCCCCTGCTCCAGCTCCATCGTACTCGGCCCCAGCACCGGCTCCAGTCTACTCGGCTCCTAGTCAATCCTACTCCGCCGCTGCTCCAGCTCCAATCCTCTCTGCTCCAGCACCCGAGTATAACGCACCAGCTCCCATTCAGCCTGCTCCCGAGTATCTGCCCCCTGTACAGGACATCCCCGCTCCAGCACCAGCTCCAGTCTACTCGGCTCCAGCACCGGCTCCAGCTCCAGTCTACTCGGCTCCAGCACCAGCTCCAGCTCCCATCTACTCTGCTCCCGCTCCCGAGTACAATGCGCCAGCTCCCTCTCTGCCAGCTCCCGAGTATCTGCCCCCTGTGCAGGACATTCCCGCCCCAGCTCCCGCTCCCATCTACTCCGCCCCAGCACCTGCTCCCGCACCCATCTACTCTGCCCCAGCACCCGCTCCCTCCTTCTCCTCCCAACTGTCCGGTCCCATCATCTCCGGCCAGGCCGGCGAGTCCAATGGCTACGAGTACAACGTGCCAGCCAAGCGCTTCCGTTTCTAAGTGCCCATCTCCATCATCATCCTTGGAGCGCCGCTTGTTAAATTAACAAGTGACCTCCGGCACCTTGTTGTTGATCATCTGTTGTTATTATGCAAAGTTTCTGTTGAGATTTGTAGCTAATAAATATATGTATGTAAATATAAATAAAATACAATTAAATTACCAAATACACCAATCTCTTATTTCGCCGAGCTTCATCATTGCGTGACTTCCACGCACAGAAAAATCGAGTGCCTTCGAGATTATGCAAAAACTTTTCGCCAGAAATGAACGCAGTCGAATAAACAACAACAAACAAAACAAAACAACAACAAATGAAACTGGTTCACAGCGATGCAAAAAAAATAAAAAATTAATGTCAACTTATCAAAACGTCAAAATGAGAAAGGGAAACCATTAAAATGATTTTAAAGGGATTCCACTTGTCTCTTAGCTCGACGTCTCGCTGTCAACCGAACCCACAATCATCATCGGGAATTTATACATACATATATAGATTCACATTAAGTAATTGTTGTTTATGTGTATTACAATTACTTAGCTTAAGCAAAGTGATCTTAAAATTTGGATAACCAATCAAAATTCATTTGCAAGTCATTTGCATTAACTACTGCATCATAATCAGCTCGATCAAATTTTGAGTTGTTGGTCATTTTGCTTTAAAGAGCTGTATTATATTTAAGTGAAACACTCGAGAGTATTCGACTAATAAATATCCTGTTATTAACAAAATAAAGTACTATTTCATTTAAATTTAATACAGAATTTTTAACTTATTTCCAACACTCTCTGTGCTTATCATCAGAATAGATGCACCTACGACCTACCAGTATCCCATGTATCAATAAAGCGTATGTATTATTCGGAATTTTTATATATTATATAAATGATATATATTCACAATTATTATCCATATGTGAAAAATATCGCATATGCTGTAATTTAAAAAAATAAAAATCTGATAAAATCATATAACTGATTTTTTTATCGTATGCTAAAATATATATTCAAAGTGAATTTGAAAAGATATGACTCTATGAAAAATTAAACTATACCTTTGAGTTATTTTATATTTATAATTCTTACATATCTGATGAATATGAAATATATTCATATTTATTTATTGTATTATAATTTGATAATTATGATATATTCATAATTATGAATTCAATGTTTTACCTTCAAGTTTCTGTCGAGCTGAAATGATTTAATCATGGTAAATTTTCCCACTGATTTATAACTATACTGTACATACGTAATTTAATAGCATCTTAAGACTTTAGTGTTTAATCCATAGATTACGCTGAGTCGAAATGTTGAGCTTGTCTCTTGATTGCTTTATTCCTAAATCTTCTCAAAATGATAAACTTAAGCGACTTAGTACTTCCGATTTACCACAACTCTTTTGATGTGTTCATTTAATCTCAACTGATGAATGTGAATATTCCAAACTTTAATTTAATCAGTCATAAGCTTAAGCTTTACGACAGACCTTGATGTAATTTGTATACTCGTAAGTTTCACTGATAATCTTGATATATTTCATTATATATGTATGTGGACAAGTGTTATATGTGGGTGTTTAATTTAGTTAAAAATTGTTTTTTTTTTTCGTAGCACAGTTTTTGAAACCCCGATTTAGAAGTTCATTAAAAGCTGCATTATATAAATATTAAAAAACTGTTCCTAGGTCATACGAAAATATAAAAGTGTTATGAATTTCTAATTTTAATATAAATTCACAACAAATTAATATAAATCAAGATATAATTTAAATTTACACAGAAGGGCATATGCATATATGGCTTTTGATATTTCTGCTAATATAAATCCATCAAAACTGTATTTGGTAGCTTTATCAAATTTGAATTAGTGCGCTTAAATGGCTTTTGTATGCAAGTGGCCAACAAAAGAGCAAAAAGCCTTAGCCAACCTGCATGCATACGCTTAATGAAATTTGAAAGGCGGTGTTAGGCAAATATGATAGACCCAATTTCCATTGTCTAAATGCTGTTCATAGGGTCGTTAAATGCACAAATATCTAAATTGATATATGTACATATGTAAATAAATGTATATACATATGTATTCGATAAACATATATGTAGGTGTTAGATAATATCAAACGGTTTGCGAGAAAACAATTAAATTTTGGCATGTTATTCAATCAATTGATCAGAAAGCCAGCGCCCTCCCTCCCCCGCCTATCAAGCGACTATCTTCGTCACTTAATGAAATTAACATAAATGCAAATATTATGTCTATAGGTTCAATGTACACATATAAATAAATCAACATGCACCGTTAATTTTATTCAACTAATTTTAGTTTTATTTGATAATTTACTTCTCTTTAATTTCATTTGTAGTATACGTCATCATTTATCAATAGCTGTTAAGTAAGTTAACTTTGTATAATATGCGCTGTTGATTAGTTGTAGTGTTTAGTTTAATTTAGTTTACTATATGTGTATATACGTGTATATCATATAGGGTAGAGTGTGTATAGTAGGTATATAAATTATTATCATAATTATGCAATGCTTCTATAATTGATATAGCTCGACCAGGATCCGGCCATATCTAGGTAGCTAAACATTAACAGATCGAACATGCATTTTTCGTACTATACAATTAAACTAAAATACTTAAGTTGCTGCTGGTTTTGAAGCGACTCTAGGAGCACATAGAGCATAGGGTCAAGAAAATAAGAGCCTTACTTAAAATAAATATATATTTAATTTATAAACAAACGAGTTGACAAAAATTTACCATAGTTTCATTATTTACGCTACTTTATATGCACTTCGAATTGCGTTTATGGGTGTGGATGTGGGTTTGGTTATGTGCGTATGTATGTGTGGTTGGGGACTGAAATTTTCAATAAATAGCCTAAAACGGGGACTAGCCGCATCCCCTCTCATCATAGGACAGTCACATACGTCACACATCCCAACACAGCATCTCTAAATCATAGAATCAACTACATTATATACAAGCTTGGGCTGCCGCCGGCGTTTGTTATGTGTCATAATCGTCCTGCTGGGAGCTGAAGTAGCTCACCAGGCCACTGAACTCCCCGACACCGCCACCAGCGCTGTGCGCTGCAACAGCGGCGCTGCTGCTGCCATGGGCCGAGCTGGAATCCTCCTCGGCGATGGGCGCTGGCGAGTCGGCTGAGGCATCTCCGACCACAGCCATCGGAGATTTGATATTGGAGTAGGCCTCCAGTGTGATGAGTTTCTTGCTGGTTATAACCGAGGATTTGTGCATCTCCGATGTGAGAGTAGCTGGTGGTGCAGCCGGTGGAACCGACACAGGCGGTGCAGTTACAGCGGGCGCCTGAGTTGCATTTGTAACTGGCACCGGAGCTGGAGCTGATGCTGATGATGGTGGTGGTGGGGGTGCTGCTGCTGCTGGCGGTGGTGGTGTTGGGGCTGGTGCTGATGTTGGAGCCGGTGCTGGTGATTTGCCACGCGTTAGTGCGGAAACAGAGTGATTTGTAGGCGTCACAGCAGGCGGTGGCGGCGCACTGACAATCACTGAACTGGGCGCAGACGCGTGCGCAGGCGGCGTAGCCAGCGTTGGTGGATAATAGCCATAGGGTGGATAGCCACCTAAAATACATTTGATGCCAGGAAGACGAATGAGCTAAGCTGGAAATTCAGTTTCGATATTTGAGCTACTTACGCGCACCGGCTGCATAGTCCACGGGGCCAGGTCGCATATTGGCGCTGCCAGGCGGTGCCACACGCGGTGGATAGTTGGGATTGCCATAAATGGGTGGTGCTCTGAAATGACAATATAAAAGACAGTTATATTAAAGCATGGCAATCAATCTAAGGCAATCAGTCTTAACTCACCTATAAGGATTCAGATGCGGCGAGGCATGACGAGCCGGTGGCGGGCCGGCGCCATAAACGCTAGCCAATGAGCCGGGCGGCGGCGGACCGCCATGGTGCTCCGGGCCATGCATATAGGGTGGCGGACGTGCATTGGAAGCACTGTTAGGCGCACTGCTGGATGCCGTGGACGTGGGTGGTGCGCCTCGTAAGGGCGGCGGTGCACCGTACGTGGGACGCAGCGCAGAGCTGGGCGGCAATGGCTGCGAATAGAAGCGGGCCAGCTCCGCACTGCTCGGATACATGCCAGCACCAGCTGATGGCGGCGGGACGCGCGAGTGCGCCGGCGGGAGCAGCGATGACATGGGCATGCGCGTGATTACGGAAGCCTGGGACACGGCAACTGGGCCATCTTCATGGGGCTTGAACAGCTGGGGAGGCGTTGGCGGTGGCTGCGCCTTGCCAGAAGGCGCTGCTTTCTCGCCGCCCACCGACGAGGTGGCTGCTGTGACAGCCGCGGCGGTTTGCTGCTTCTGCAGCTGATCCCGCAGAGGCGTCACCTTTTTTCGACGACCACGTGGCTTGGCATCGGGCGCCGGACCTGTCCCGGACGCTGGACCACGTACCGTAGCAGCTGCAGCGGCTGCCTGCATCAGATGTGCTGCAGCCACGGGCATTGACATGCCCAGGGGCAGGCGCTGCATGGCCGGCAGTTGTTGTTGCTGGGCAGGCGCATAGTTCGCACGACTTAGGGGCTGGCCCAGGGGAGCGGAGAGTGCGCTCTGCAGCAGCTGCATGGCCTGTGGAGGCGGTGCCAAATGGCGCTGCAGCATTGGATGCATGCCCGGTGGAGGATGCTGCGGCTGCTGCTGCTGCTGCTGCTGTCCACCCGGCGGTGGAGGTAGGAGTGACGCTGGAAGCCCTCCGGCTGGACCATGTGATGGGAACTGATGGCGCAGCAGCGGCGGATGCATTGTGGGCATGGGCAGGCGCTTGCGCATCGGCTCCTGCAGTCCCGAGGCGCTTGGCAACTGCTCCGGCGTGGTGGGCGGTTGTTTGGTCACCTTGGATTTGGCTGGCGTGGTGCGCAGCACTTCGTCCGGCGCGGGCAGCTCTCGTACAGCGGCATCTGAATTGAACTGCTCCACAACCATGCGTGCAATCGCATCCTCCATGTCCTCGGGCAAATCGGGTAGCTCTGTGTCGTCCAGCTCCGAGTCCACATCGTCTAGATCGTCAATGGCCTCACCCTTGCGATGCAGGTAGTCAATGTCCAGCACCTTGGCCTGACGTATCACAGACAGCGGCACCGTTGACAGCGAATCCCCTGCGCCCGATGCAGCAGCAGCTTTGGTGGGCGTGCGCTTCTCCGGCGTGGTCGCCGCTGCCGTTGATCCCTTGATGGGTATTAGTCGTGGCGTCGCCGCCAACTTGGCGCCCTCCGCGTTCTTCTCGGCCAGCATGCGTTTGATTTCCTCCTGCTTCTGGATAAACTTCTGCCGTTCCTCGGGTGGTGTGTCCGGACGCTGTACTCCTGGCTTGATGCCACCATCGGAGCTGTCGTCGTCAAAGTCCTCGATGTAGGCATAGCGGCGGCCACGTGTGCGCGTTCGTTCATCGGAGCCGCCACCGCCGCCGCCCTCATCCGAGGAAGCTGCCTTCTTCTTCTTCTTGGCGCCCTTGCCTTTGCCCTTGCCCTTGCCAGACGACTGCGCCTGCGCCGACGAGCCCGTCGTTGACGTCGTCTTCTTTAAGGGCTGCGAGCGCGGCTGTTTGCCCGAGCCTTTGCCGGACATCGGTGCCCCATTGGCGCCAATCTGTACTTCCTCATCATCCTCGTCCTCCTCCTCCTCGCTCTCACTGATGTCATCATCGGAATACTCAAGCTGCTTGGTCTTCTTAACCACAGGCTTCTTTAACTTGGGAGACTTGCGTGCAATGGCTCCCGAAGATTTCTTGGCCGCTGCCTTCTTGCGCTTCGATGGATGCCAGGCGCCGTCCTCGCTCTCGCTGGTCGTGTCATCGCACAGGTCCGCACTGTCCATGTTCTCCGACAACTCCGACCCGTTATCGTCGTCGTCCGTTTCGGTTTCCGTGTAATCGGAATCCTCTTTCTTCTTCTTATGAGATTTCTTAGAGCGTTTCGGCTCCTCTTCTTCACTCTCATCGCTCTCATCCACCACAAATTTGCGATCCTTGCGACGCTCGCGTGCTGCTCGTCGTGCCGCCTTGCGCTGCTTTTTACCTCGGCCAGGCCGCCGATAGACCTCCAGACTGGAGTCAGAGTCATCGGAGGCAGACTGCGAACTTTCCTCGTCGGAGAAACTGGAAGTCTTAAAATCCTCATCACTGCCATGATCCTCCTCGGAGCTCACATCCAACGTGGTCAACTTGCGTGCCTTCTTCTTAGCCGGCTGAGGTTTCGCCTTTGGCTGTCGAGCAGCTTTCAGCGGCTGCTCATCATCGTCGTCGTTGCTGTCGTCATCGTGGCTTGATTTATCCTGCGTGTCGGACGCGAGTTTTGTTGCCTTCACCTCCGATTCATCCTTGTCGGATTGCTCGCCCTCCTCTTCGCGTCGCGATTTCTCCTTGTCCGCCTCGATAATAGTGCTGATGTCCTTGCCCCTGCCCAGATTACCAGCTCCGGCCACCTCGTCCATCTCCTTCTTTAGCGCCGAATTGATCAGATCGTCGTATTCATTCAGGCGATAGCTGACATTGATCTGTCGTCGCTTGCGTAGCTTATAAATGGGCTCATCATCCGAATCGGAAAAGCTGTTGCTGCTGCTGCTTCCGCTGCTGCTCGAGCTGCCCGAGCGTGCGCCGCCACCACCGCCCGAGTGTTTGCCGCTCTTCGATGCGCTGCTAGCGCTGTCCGACCCATCGTCCTTGCCTCCGCGACGACGTCGCGTGCCTCGCTTAGCTGCTCGACGATTGCTGCGCCCATCGCCGCGTCGTCGCTTGGACTTGTCAACCTTGGCGCGCTTGTTGGCCTTGCTGGACGTGTCGCCATCCTCATCGTCGTCCTCGTCCTCATCGTCGTCATCGTCCTCATCATCCTCGTCATCGTCTTTGTCCTCATTCCTTTTGCGAGCATTCGAATTAGACCGTTCCTCCAGCTCACTGGCAGTGCGAGCAGCTGCCGCGGCTACCGCTTGGCGCTTTTGAGATTAAAATTGATTAAGATTAATATGGAGTACAGCAAAAGATTCACTTTTGGATTTACACTTTAAAAAAAAAAACTAAGAAAGCTCCTGTCGGAGGTCCAGAGATCCGCTGATCTCTGTACGTTCTGCACTTTTAATAACTCTGCACAGCTTATAACTAGGTTCAGACGTATTATGGGAGGGTCTGCTAAGCACCTTTATAACCTTTATAGCTTGATTTTCCATTTTCAAATATGCTACAAACTTGGTGACTTTGAATACCTCTTGCTGGGGTATATAATCTTTAGATGACATTTGAGTAAATTAATTTAAATAAATAAAGATAATTCGATATGCACAGCCAAAGATCTACCAACTTACAGGGACAAGGGATATTCTAGATACAATCAAACCTACATTCAAACCTCCCAACAAATAAAATAATATGACAAAGTAAAATATGATATTCACTTACCTCCGCCTCCTCCGCCAAAAGTTTCTCCTGATGCTTGCGGGCAACCAGATCATCGTATTCCTGTAGCTGCTGTTCCAGAGCAGCGATTAGCTGCTCCTGCTGGCAGGGCGGACAATGCCAATCGCCCTCGGGTATATAGAAGAGCACGGGACTGAGGCAGGAACAATGATAGCCTTTGTTGCAGCCGGGCGTATCGCAGAGCAGTATCCACTCGGGGTGATCCGACTTGCCACATTTCTGGCAGGCCTCGTCTGCATCCGCAGCGGCATTATCCTCATCATCGGCATTCTCTTTGCGCAGTGTGCGAGCGCGTTTCATCGGAACCACCTGGGCATCGTCCTCTACTTCCGATTCGGGTGAGAATTCATGATCGGATTTAAAGAGTGGTGAGCCGGGATCGGTCTCGTAGTGTGGTGGCTCTTCCTCCTCCTCCTCGCTGTCGGCCTGCTCCTCGGAGTCCGATGACCAGCCGCCATTCTTGCCGGGACACTTCTTCTTGACCTTCTTCTTGGTCTCCTCAGCTTCGCTTGCCGACTCAAACGACTCGGACTCAGCCGACGGCTCGAGCACTGTGGGATCAGCCTCCTTTTCGGCCTTCTTTTTGTTCTTCAGCTGCTGTTTCATTGTCCTCAATGCCACTTCCTCCAATTTTCGTCGTTCCGCCTCCTCTTTGATTTTCTGCTGTGCTATGCGACGGGATTGACGCACTGGCGTCTCCGAGTCGTTGGTGTCAATGATGTTGGTGGTGTCCACCTCACGTTTCTTGCGCGGTCCTCGCCCACGTCCTACTCCAGGCGTTGTCGCCGGTTTGGGCAGCTCTTTAGGCTCCGAAGTCTTTGGTTTTTCCGTCGGCTCTTTGGAGTCATTCTCGGCTTTAGATTCCTCTTCGGTTTTGGGCTCCTGTTTGGTGACGGGCTCACTCTTGGACTTCTCTTTCTCCTCCTTTGGCTCAGGTTTGGGTTCCTCTTTGACCGGCGACTTTGTTTTAGCTGCCGATTTCACGGGCTTGGTTGCTGGCTTCTCATCTACCAGCTCATCTTCGATTTTGAGTGGATCCTCTTTGATATGCTGCTTATTTTCAGTGCTGGACTTCTCTTTGGGGACACCTCGAGTGCGCTTGGGTTGCGGCAACTCCGAGTAGACTACAGCGGTGCCTCCGCGACGTCCCGAGCGTCGCCCTTGGGCTTCAACCGGCGGTGGAGGTGGTGAATCCTCCTTGGGGGTTGGTGGCGTTGCCTGCTTGCCTGCCTGAGGCTCTTTTTTCGGAGCGGGCGGCGGTGGCGTGGCTTGCTTAGCCGGTGGAGATGTTGCCCTCTTGGCAGGCGGAGACGTTGCTCTCCTAGCTGTAGGAGATGTTGCGGCCTTATCTGGGGAAGATGTTGCCCTCTTAACAGGAGGAGGCGTGATATCTTTAACGGGTGGGGGTGTGGCTTGCTTCACGGGCAGCGGTGCAGATTGCTTAGCCAGCGGGGGCGAGGCTTGCTTCACCGAACGAGGCGAAACTGAAAGTGATTCCCGTTTAGCTGTTGTTTCCTGCTTGGCGTGATGTGTGTCTGAAACTGCTGTCGCGGATTCCTCCTGCGGGAATTGCTGATCATTGTTACGCATGTGTTTCTCGCTTATTGCGGGCAAGTCTTCGCTGACGCTCGCCTCCTTGGACTCCTTTGCGTCTTCGCTGCTGCGGCGCTTACGTTGCAATGTGGACTCAACACCTTGGCTAGGTGGAGCCGAAGCCGAGGATGTAGCCGAATTCGCTACAACTGTTTCGCTATTGGTTCGCTTTCTAGGCGTTGCCTCCTCATCACTCTCCTCTTGGCGTATTTGTGTCAGCAGATTCTTCTTCAGTGGCTTCGTAATGGGTGACTTCTTGGGCGGTGTAAAGGGTGCAGGGTCACTTCGCTGAGCCCCAGGCGGCGTGATCTCACCAACTGGCTGCGCAGGTGTAGGCGCAGGGGCAGGAGCAAGCGCGAGCGACGGCTGAGCTGGCTGTGATGGCTCAGGCACTAGAGGCGACTGCTGTTGCTGCTCATCTTTTGGTTTCTCTGGGGTCTTCTTCAATTTCTTCTCGATAATTTCAGCCAGCGTTGGCTTTTGCTTGACAGGCGTGGGCTTCTCGAGGTGTCGCTTTGGCGCTATGATCTTGCGACGACTGCGCGCATCTTCTTCACCACTCGACGAGGTTGTCTCCTCGATTTGTGTCTTCTGCGCTTCCACTTTGCGCCGTACCTCCACATTGGTGATCTTTGGACGCATTTTAAGACGCTTCCCACCAATATCCAAATCATCATCGTCATGCTCATCCTCCAGCTGCAGCTCGCCGTGTGTATCAATCTCGCTCTCGGATGTCGAGTGACGTGCAGCAGGCGCTGCAAAGTCGGCCAAGCGACGCTTTCGATTGGGCAGCAACATTGTTTTCCTGCTCTGGCTCTCGGCTGGAGTTTCTAATTTAGTTTCATTCGCCTCTTTTGGTTCACCGAGCTTCACGTCAGGTTTGCTTTCCTTAGGCTGTATGTTTTGATTATCTTGTGGGACTACGACCTTCGAGGTGCTAGGCAATTCACTTTGTACTGCTTCCGTTAGCTTAGGTTTGCTGTTGATTTCCGCAGCAGGTTCTGCTTGTTCGTTAACTTCAGGCGCAACCGCAGTTGGGTTTGATTTGTCAATATTTGTCGCTGCTTCGGCTCCATTTCCAGTTGCCTTAACTGATTCGCAGGAACTTGGAACTGATAAAGTTTTCTGTGAATCAGTTTCATTTGAAATTAGTTTGCTATTCTCTTCTATTGATTGCTCAAGTGGTTCAACTTTGGGTACTGTGTCATTGTCACCGGTAGCTGCTGCTTCTTTGATGATTTCTTCCTTAGGCTCTTCCTTGTCAACATGATTAATTTTATTTAAGTTGATATCATCTTTGCTTTTTTCCACGATGCTTTCAACCTTTTTTCTTGTCTCTGATTCATCTTTTTGGTCTGTCTTTTCCGTTTCAATGATTTTCTTCACAATTTCTACTGATTCATTCGAGGTCTCTATGACCCTCACCTTATACACTTGTTCGACGCTTTCCTCTACTGACTTTTCAGGTTTTTCTTCCACATTATTTTGTTCATTTGAGATTGGTTTTGGTTCTTCCGGCTTTTCAGTTACATTTTCAACTGGTTTTTCTGCTGATTCTTTTCCGACTATATTAGCGTTAGTTTCATCTTCTGCAATAATTTTGTCATTAGAGTTGAATTTATCGTCTTGCTGCTCCTGCTGCTCTTCCTGTTCCGGCGACTCATTGCCGTTAAGCACTACCGTTATTTTCTCATTATCATTCTCCATTTCATTATTTCGACTCTCTCCATTAGTTTTCTCGGGTTCTGCTTCTCGTTCTGAGTCGCCCAAGCTATCGAATATGCTTCTTTTCGCTTCCTGCTTTGGCGTCTGTTTAATAGGACTTAGTTTCAGACAACCCGGCTCGCCAAAAAAGAATGTGGCCTTTGGCTCAGGCTTTGAGGTGGCCTCTTCGTCGTTGGTTTCGGTGTTGCCATTGTTTCCCACCAGACAATCAGCGCCACTTCCAGAGCCGTGCACAAAGAAGACTTCTTCGACGATTTCTTCACCAACCCAGGGATCCAAAACACTTTCCTTATCCGTAAATGCGCCAAGATATAGTACATCATCTGGCAACGCTTGGTTTTCTTGACCAGCTCCATGTCCACGAACTATTAACGTGGGCTCTTCAATGGGCTCTCCAACTTCATTATCTTCGTCATCTTCTTCCTCTTCCTCCTCTTCGTTAAATTTCTGCTCGTTCTCATCTTCGTCGGCAGCAGCACTATCAAGTGATTCCTCTTCCCCTTCGAGTGATTCTTCTTCCTCCTCCTCTTCACCCTCATCTAGCTCCGAATCCTCCGAATCCACTTCGTTATCATCTTCGGACTTAGTGCTCTCATAGCGACTCGGCTTTTTAATACGTTTTGTGTCAAGCAGAGTAGGTCGCTGTTTCTTTTGAGGATCCTCAGATGCTAGCGGTGGACTATTGTCCACATCCTCCAAAGGCCGTTTCTTGGCCGGTGCGGGTGATCCACCCAGTTTACCTTGTGTAATGACCAAGGGCTGCAACACAAATGGTGTAATCAAAGAAAACAGTTATACAGTTAATGAACTCACCTTGACCTTCTTGGGTTTAAGATCCGATTCCGATTGCTCATCCTGCTGCTGCTGCTCAGGCGTACGTAGCTTTATCTTCAAATTGGGCACTTTCGCTTCGTGCGAATTATCGTCTTGTGGCTCTTGTTGCGGCAGAGTTGCCGTTGCCTGTGGTGCAGCCTGACTGCTGCTGCTACTGCTTGTGGTATCCTCATCTGCCTCGCCAATATCTTTAGAGGGTAGCACCACCTCATTAGCGCGCAGTCGTGCAATGAGGTTAACAAATTCATCCCGATTTGTGGCCACCACCTGCCATATCTCCTCGTCCAAATGCTCCTGATAAATGCGCAAATTGCAATCGCCATCCTGCGAGAGCCAATAGGAGTGACCCAAGCGATCGCGTCCAATGGGCTGGGCACGTAATGTGGTCGCATTTAAGGTTTGAATATTTGCACGAAACTTAGCATTGCGCTCAAATTGACTCTCAAGCAGTTCCTGTAAGTAAAAATTGAATTGAAATTGAAATGACAAACTACAGAAATAACTTATTTATACTCACGCGCAGAATACGTAGTTTCACTTTAAGACTGGAATTCCGGTAACCGAAACGTTCAATCTCCCAGGCATCCTGCAGGGAATAGCCGAAACAGAATTTACTCAGCGCTGGTTCCCAGCTCTTTTCGTGAACCGTTTTTCGTGTCTTGCGCAACAGTTTAATGTGAAGATCTCGCAGCTGGGGCACTAAAAAAAAAAAAAACAAGAAAAGAAAAAGAGTGTAATGTTAATCTAAATGTTGTGATTGTTGTTGTTTTTGTTTAGTTTTCTCTTTCAGCTGCATTTTTTTACGGTCTCCGCTTTACTCCATACCAAACAATAATACAAACAATCGAGCTCTCTTTCTCTCACTATGTCACTCTTGCTCTCTCAGTTGCGAGCCGCACACACACGCACTTTGACTTGCACAGTTGCATACATATGCACGCACACACACACACACATACGAACCTTCATCGTTGTTTGTCAACCACTCCTGCAAATGCTTGAAATTTGGCAATGCCAAGCCCAAATCTTTGGCAAATTTTTGCAAAAATGCACATATTACTGCAAAATCTGGATCGTTTGCACACGAATGTAACGTTGTAGTTAATGCATCGTCATCTTTATCTTTACATTCTTCTTTACATTCAGCCGTAGCTGAAGACGCCGCCATTTTTCATGCGTCTGCTGAAAAAATGTGTTAGGCCCTCAAAAACTTGTACAAAACACTGGCAAAATAGCAAAAGCAGTACAAATTATGCACTGCATTTGTTTTCACTTCAAGTACACTGAATACAAAACGAGTTATTGCACAAATTAATCATAGTTTTAATTACTTTTATACTATTACTTTATTTTTCGACGCATGAGAACCGATAGACGACCGATAAACTGTGGTGGTCGCACAATGCGCACTCATTCGAGATGACCGATTATTGTGTCGACGAAATTTACTCACTGAACGAAATTACTCAATTGGCAATGTTCAGATCTTTTCAGCTATTGGGGTTTTAACATTTGTTTGAAAATGTAACAGAAGCAAATAAGAAGAGCGTAGAAAAACAACAAAGACGGACAAAAACAACGGTGAAAATCGAATTTCTATCCCAAGCGACTCACAGTGTTTACTCTTTGTTAGTTTATTGCGTTTTAAATTGCGAAAAAGAGTAAAGAAAACAAACAAAAAATTAAATCAATTAGAAGGAGCAGTGAAAGTGTTTGTGGAATACGATATTTTTCGCATTGAGAAAACAGCTGTACCAGATTTCTAAAATGGCAGCATATCAAATGAATTTCAACCAGGATTTTACGTAAGTTGTAACAAATTAGCTTCCCAATTTACCCCAGAAAACTTTTGCACACCCACTCACAGTCTTCCTTCGGAATAAAGAAGGTCATTAAGCAAAAAAAAAAAAAGCAAAAAATCTGCGATACAACAAACGACAAATGAGACAAGTAAACAAGCGAAACAGCTGGTGGGTAAGAGGGAGGGGGTGAAGTATAGCGGGAGAGAGGAACAATGGGTGCTAATAGCTGAACTGTAACAGCGTCTATCAGTACGTGTGCGTATGTGTGTGTATCTATTTATTTGAGTAAGTGTGTGTGAGCGTGTATTGGCGTCGTTTTGCTTATTAGAACATGCAAACAACCAGTTCTAATAAGAATGACATGCATACATTTATTATGAAATATGGGTAATGGCAAACAAGTACACTAGCCAGCAAATTAAAGAAATCACCTGACTGCAAGAAGAAAACAAGTTGACTGATTATAAAAAACGCGATTGTGCATAAATTTAGGCATTCAATTAGCCAGAGTCAATCTGACATCATCTTAACATTAACAGAAATGTTAGCGCTCACAATTGTGTTTGCTAAACAGTGTAATAAAGCAATAGCCAGTACACATACATACACAAATAAACAGGCACACACGCATGCTGTAAATGCGCAACAGCTGATGCTGTTCGCTTTGTATGTATTTTCTACAGTACTTGCGACTGACTTGCAAGCTGAATAAACTTGTATAGCTTCTTTTTTTGTTAATGTTTTGCAAATTTCTTTTTGTTTGGAAGCATTGTTTTTTTTGTACAGCTGATGTCATATTGCGGTTAGCTCGCTGCCCGAAGCACCGTTACTTGCCAAGCATCTAATGGGGTGCTCTCTCACTCTCCCACTAATTTCTTGCACTTTGCTCTCGTCAGTGCAAGTGACGCACAAACAAAAACAATCAATATTTCTGCTTATGGCGAAAATCAAAAAAGAAAACACTTAAAGCTGTGAATGTGAGTATGTGTCACACATACGATCAAACATTTTTACATTTGTATTATATGAGCAGCAACAATAACAATCCTGATAGTCTCGCGCCATAAAGCGAGAACAAAGAGCTCAGCAAGTAGGTTGCTAAAAAGAGATAGCATGCAAAACGCTTTCTAATCAGAACAAATCAATTTGCTTTTAAAAGCATTTTGCAGGTGAATGCACAGCAAAATCGAACTCAATTAAGCGTTTGCCTTTACATTCGATCAAGCGTCAAGTTCAAGGGCAAAGGTGCAGCGGCAGAGGCGAGCCGAGTCGAGTCAATAATAGTGATAATGATAATGGCAATGATTGGGCAACTATGAACACGTGTTGCTATCACGACCATTGTCCACTTAGCACGAATAGTGCAGTTATTTCATAATATCTCTGTTTTTGTTTACACCAGCTGTTTGCCCCGTGCGTTGTGCGTCTCTTATACCCTACATATACGTTATGTGAATGCAAGGCAATATAGTATTTCAAGACAGCTTGTAACAAAATTATAATCAATTTTTTTATTTTATTCATTTCACTAAAATGGTATTGTGAATAGGAAATTAAAGTTGATAGGTTGAAATTAAAGTTTTTTATTAAATATAAAAGATGTTTGTCAAAGAGTATTTACATTTTAGCTCTTACTCTCATTCCCTCTCTCTGTTGATGCTAATGAACCCTTATCAGCACTTTTGCCCGAACAATTTAAATGAGTCCACTTTGCTTCGTGTTGATGTGTTTTCATTTTTGCTTCCGATGCGTCATTGAAAATATACAAAAATATTATTGAGCAAATGTGTGGAATGCTGAGCTTTAGTTTAGCTGTTGTTAGTAAACACCGCAAAGGGGAATATCGCAAAATAAAATAAAAACAGCAAACCGCAGACAAGGCCGTCATGTTATAACTTTGCAAGGGGGATCTGAATGCCTCTGTCATACAATTCAGCATGGCCTTGAGCCCCATTTTTTTTTTGCGACAACGCCTTTGGCGCAAAACTAGTTTTAATAAAAAAAAAAAACATTGAGAACAAAAGTAAACACGGCTGAACAACACACGTGTTGCGCTCATCGCCAGATTTTTGGCTCTTGCTTATCGTTTTGGATTTGGGCGGAGAAACGTGCCTGACATAAATTACGAGTAAATGATAACAATAAAAGCAAACATTTCCATGGTCAAAACGGCTTTGCATTAGCTCAAGTGCGAAACTCGTGAGCAACAATTAAAATTAAAAGCTTTCAGTGTGGTTCATTTTTTTCAAAGCTGCCCAAGCAAACTTGAAAATTACCGCGTCTTTTGATTGTTTACCAGCACTGCTGCTTCACAATAATGAAACTCTAACTACATAAATACGACGCTCGTGCTACATGTTTATTATAACCTGCCCTATATAAATATTGGTCAATAAATAATAAACATTAACTAAAAGAAGTACTCATAGCCAATCAAAAGGTTTTGGTATATTTTGCTGTTGGTGATAAAGTAGAATTCAAATTTCCCGCGTAAACTAACGTTTAACAACACTATCCAACAATGTGGAAGCGCGTCGCTCTGAATAAATACCAACTAAAATACTAAATCGCATCAAGCGCAAGCCAAACATAAACAACAACAAACACGAATTGCATTTGACATTGAAAAAAAGCGAGAATTGGAAAATAATTGGGTAATTACCTGAGGAAGAGAGAGAGAGAGAGCGTGTATGTGTGGAAAATCAATCACACGCTATGGAGCAGCGCGCTAATTTTCTAGCCCTTACACTGCTCGACGCCCTGGAAGATGAGAACGAAGCGGATATATTCTCAATGCTGGATCGAAACGCCATCAACGCGAGCATCGTGCCCTGCGAACGAGGATTGGCCCCGCTGCACTATGTGTGCGGCATGAAGAACGAAGCGCTGGCGCTGCGTATACTCGAACGGTTCCTCACCAACGATCAGATTGATGTCAATGTGCGTTGCGACGGAAACATGACGGCCCTGCACATTGCGGCGATCTATGGGCGGACGGAGCTAGTGCGTCTGCTGCTGGAGCATGGGGCGCGACCGGACATTGCAGACGATGAGCACAAGCTGGCCGTGCACTATGCCATCGAGGAGTGCCATTTCGAGGTGTTGCAGCTGATGCGCGACCATATCTACCAGGAGAAGCAGCAGCTGAAGTTGCAGCAGAGGTCCTTGACGCCCAAGGCGACGCTGAAATACAATCACGATGTCACCTCGCCCTACTACATCAACATAACGCATCGGCGTGGCAAGCCGCAACCACAGTTCCCCGATGACCCGGAGCCGGAGCAAGAGCAGTCAGTCAATCTATTCGCCCTTACGCGAGATCATCTGGCCGAGCTGACGCACAATCAGGATGTGGCGACGTGCGGACGTCGCACGCTCATCGAAAGCTGGCGGGATAAGGTGGAGCGTTCGCGTGCCCGCAAATCGTTACTGCAGGAGCAACAGGTGGAAATACTGGTGGAGCAGGCTATGGAGCAGGACGACTTTAGCTACGAGAAGCATGTGCAGCAAAGCTTGAGGCAGGCGGCACAGGAGCCGGCAGAGAAGTCCAGTGCTCCAGCAAGTCGTGCTGCCTTTGGCCAGCTGGTGGAGCAGGTGGCTCAGGCCTGTGTGCTGGAGCAGAGCTTCTATACAGCCCCAGAGGACGAGGAGCAGCGAGAGCAGTTGAAGGAGCAGGCGGGGGATCAACAGCAGCAGAGACAAAAACAGCCGCAAGACAAATCCTACTATCTGCAAATGACCGAAGCTTATGTGCACACGGACGACGAGAATGGTCTTGTCTTCTACGAGACAAAGTTGCTCCAGAATGGCGAGGCCAAGAAGCAGCTGACGAAGCGGCTGCCAAACCACTTGGAAGTCCCACCAGCATCTGTGCAGCTGGACAGCAGCGCTAGCACAAATTTCACAGTGCCGCTGGACTACGAGACGGACGCACTGCGTGCAGAGCTGACGCAGCTGGGCGCTCCAGTGGGACCCATTACGCGCACCACCAAGCGGCTGTATATCAAACAGTTGATCAAGTACAAGAGGAACACGGCGGCTCTGCTGGCGGCGCAGAAGCATGCGAAGGCGGCGCAGATCAAGTACTCGGTGGAGCTGCATCATACGTTGAGATCGCAGGCGGATTACGAGCAGATTGAGCGGTTCATGGTGCACGAGAGCGCCTCAGCGCAGCACTTTGCCACAGCTGGAGCTGGGGGCAGTGGAAAACAGCTGCGGGAGGGGCATCTGAAGCAGAGCTTCATCTATATGTTGATAGATCCGAGAATCTCGAGGAATTTGCCGGGAGAGCGAGCATTTGTGGATCCTCTAAGCATTTGGTCTCGCTTCCTGGATGCCATTTTCTATGTGGGCAAAGGCAAGTGCTCCCGGCCCTATGCCCATCTCTATGATGCAATGCGTCAGCACACACGCCTCCATCTGCAGCAGCACCAGCAGCCGCCGGAGAATGGGAAAAAGCGACCAACTGGACGTGGCCTGCTGATGCCGGAGCTGTTCAAGTCGCCGCCGGCAGGAAATGCCAAGGCTGGGAGCAAGAAACTGCAGCGCATCCTGGACATTTGGCAACACGGAAGCGGCGTTGTCTGCCTGCATGTTTTCCACAACATAATGCCCACGGATGCGTACACGAGAGAGGCAGCCATCATCGATGCTCTGGGCCTGGTGCACTTGACCAATTTGAAGCGCGGGGATTACTATGGGCCGGCGCAAATTTGGACGATGAAGCAGAAGAAGCAGCTTGGCATTGCATTGCTTTACAAGGCGTTGCACATTTATTTGGCCGAAGGCGAGTCTCAGTTGTCGCCAAGTGATTTAATCTAGTTAGTTTTCCTTGTTAGCAATAAGTACAAAGTACAAAAGTTAAAAAGCGCGCCAAATCAATTATGAACGGGATCTCAATTTAAATTTAGCAACAATTGAATATACTATTAAAATGAACTAGAATGCTTAGTAAACAGTAAAAATGAACTAAAAAACACTGCACTGGTATTTGTTCCCATTCGGTATTTTTGCACAGGTATAGCTGTCACGCTCTTTCACACGCTGCTCCAGCTCTAAGCTGCTCACAGCGGCTTATAGTTATTTGTTTTCTATTATTATTTATGCATACAACAAAGTTTAATGATTATTTGCTGATGGATATTCAGAGCTATGTGCATATTCTGCTCTTTACATATATATACATATATATGTTTATTTATATATTTTTTGCTGCTTGTTATGTACATATTGCCGATTGCATATCAAAAATGTGCCAAGGTTGCGGGTTCGAATGCCATCGCAACCAAATCAAAAAGATGTTTTTATTTTATTTTTTCTGTGTCAATTATAGTAAACTATTTTTTTAAAAAATGTTCCTGTATTAAAAATGTTCAGCAGCAACCCTTATATATACACATATAAACTTTTCTCTATGCAGCTGCCACTGACCATGAACCCTATGTTTTAATGCATTTGCGGCACTTCCCTTCCCAATGAAAAACCCAAATGCTAATACAGCAACAAAAAGGGATGCATTTGCCGAATGCTCACGCACACAACAACAAAAGTGCAGCCGAAAAGCATGCTATCGAAATTTGCTCAAGCGAAACGTTTGAATGCTTGAGTATATTTATGGCTAGGTCACTTAGAATTCTCAACTGGTTATGGCAGGGCGCGCATGGAGTAGCTGCTGTTTTGCGTTGTTAGGTTATCTTTGCGCAGAGGCGATATCGTAACCAATGAAGTTCTACTGAGGTGCGATTATTGCTAGTTGAAAACTTTAACCAATACCCCGCCATGGGGACGTGAAATACCGTCCACTACGGCAATTTTTGGAAGCCCGAGAGGGCTCATTATACAATAAATATGAAAGAGAGAAAAGGAAGTAGAATGCAGAAACGTGCAATCGAAGTTTGAAAAGTTGAACAATAAACTAAAGTAAAGCTAGGTATTCCGTTCTCTATTATCCTGCTGTAGCGAAGTGCCTGAGAGGAAGGAAACTGATGTTTTGCAACGGTGATTTTTTCATTGAAGTACTCTTAAATGCTACATTCTCATGAAGTATACTAAATATGCCTAATTATTTTTTCTTGTATGTCCTGTCACACAGGTCGCTGTCTGTGCTGAGCAGCGCTGGACTGCGTCTGTATTCGATTGCCGGCCAGGACAAGGTCGAGGAGATCTTTGCCAAGGACAACACAGAGCAAATACGCATTGTGGAGCGGCTCTTCAACAGTTCGCTGGTGGTGCTGGTCACCTCACAGAAGCCCAACTGCCTGAAGATGCTGCACTTTAAGAAGAAACAGGACATCTGCAATTGCTTCTATCCCTCGGAGATATTGTGCGTGCGCATGAATCGGCAACGTTTGATTGTCTGCCTGGCGGAGAGCATACACATACATGACATACGCGACATGAAGATCCTGCATTCCATTGAGAATATCGCGCCCAATGAGCTGGGTCTCTGTGCGCTCTCCCTGAACTCCCATCTGGCGTTCCCGATCTGCCAGGCCAGCGGCGAGCTGCGCATCTTCAATGCCAATAAGCTGCGCACTGGCATGACGATCAAGGCCCATGACACGCCCCTCTCAGCGCTCACGTTCTCGCCCAGCGGCGCACTGCTGGCCACCGCCTCGGAGCGCGGCACTGTGATACGCGTCTTCTGCGTGAAGAACGGCCAGCGGGTGCAGGAGTTCCGGCGCGGCGTGAAACGCTGTGTGCGGATCGCCTCGCTGGTCTTTGCGGCGGCCGGCGATTATCTGTGCGCCTCCTCCAACACGGAGACGGTGCATGTCTTCAAGATCGATAACCGGGCCGTGGAAGTGGCGGAGCTGAAGGCGATAGGTGAGTGAATGGAATTGCGAAAGAAATCTCCATTTATCCTAACCAATTATTTCTGCTCCAGCTGAAGTGGCCGCCAAATCGGATAGCAATGCCAAGGAGCTAGCAACAGCCACGGCGACGACGACGACCAAGACGAGTTCCTCTTCTGCAGCGCCAGCAGCGAGCACTGCAGCAGGCACTGCCGAGGAGGCTGAAGCCACGCCTGGCAGCACGGCGGCCAGCTGGGGCGGCATGTTCACCAAGGCGATGTCCTCGCTGCTGCTGCCCGCCCAGGTCAGCGATGTGCTGGCCCAGGATCGCGCCTTTGCCACCGTGGTGTTGCCCCAGCCCGGCCTCAAGAACATCTGCGCCCTGACCCGCGTACAGAAGGAGCTGCGGCTCCTGATCGCCTGCGAGGATGGTTTCCTCTACATGCACGACTTCAATGCGGAGCGCGGAGGCGTCTGCAAGCTGCTGGCCGTGCACGATTTGAGGGGCGCTCTCGAGGGCGTCATCGAGCTGCAGCTGAGCGAGAGCGTGCTGAAGGCCCAAACCCCCAAGGCGCTGCCACAGCAATCGCTGACCATGCTCAAGAGCTGTGCGGCCAGCGTGCTGATCGAGAATCCCGATCCCGTGGCGGACAACAGCTATGCGGGCATACTGCGGGGCGAGCAGGCGGATGCCATGTCAGGTGAGTGGCGATTTAATATTAATAATAGGGCAAAAATTACCAAAAATTAACTATATAATTAAATAAAAAAAAATATATGGAATATTAAAAATTAATGGATAATACAAATTAAAATTCAGTTATCAATAAAAAAATATATATAATTAAAAAAAAAAAAATATTAAAAGGAATAAAATAAAATAATAAAATGAAAGCCAAAGTCAAAATTCTGATATAAATTAATAAGAAGCAACAATTAAGAAATAACAACTTAATTAAATTAATGATAATAAATCATGAATAAATGTATTTATGAGCAAATATAAAAAAAATATAAATGAATAAAAATAAAATTTTAAAAAATATTAATAAAAATAAATAAAATTACTAATTTTATAATAATAATTCTCCAGATTCCGCCAAGTTTCGCAAGCTCTGCGATGCCATTGACACGCCCACAAAACTGTACGACGAGCGCCAATTTCCCCCTGTGGCCCTAACGGCTAAGGATTGACCACGACGCGGCAGCGTGCGGGATATTGTCTTTCTGGATAAGGCGCAGTGTGGTTGAAGAAGAAGACGATCTATCTGCATTTCCAGCTCCTCAAAAAAAAAAAAAAAAACAAAAAAATCAAAACTATATATATCTAAAAAAAGCACCAAAAAAATTAAAAAAAGAAAATTTAGCAAATTATCTAGAGCGATTCAATTATTTTAAGTACAAAAGAAAAGAATCAAAAAAAAAAAAAAAAAAAAAAAAAAATAAAAAAAAAAAAAAAAAAAAAAAAAAAAAAAAAAAAAAAATAATAATTATAATAATAATAATAATACATATATATATATACTCGAAAGAGAAAAATGTAAAAAAAAAAGTATTTTAGCTATAGAATTTATTTTAAATTTATATCAAGTAATATTCATTTTAAAAATGTTGTATATATCTTATAAACTTATAACTGTTTCTAAAATTTCTCTCAGATATATCTCAGATAAATATCTCATTCCGTTCGCTCTCTTTCCCTCTCCATCTCACTCTCTCTCTCATGCTCTCTGTCAGCGCTCTTGTTATTCAAATACAAAAAAACAAACTTTCTATAAAACATATACATTTATTAGTAAGTGATTCTTTTTTTGTTTATAAATATTTAAGCGGTTCAAATGAAGCTCAAAAATCCAAAAAAAAAAAGAAGAAAAGATAAAAAGGCGAACTGTCGGAGAGAAAGATAATCAACAAATGTACCTTAAACAATGAGCAACAACAAACGTATTCAATTAGCTTTGCAAATAAATATTATATATGTGTAACAGTGAAAATATGAAATATTGCAAATATTTTAAAATATCAACTAAGTATTAAATGAAAGTGTTAGCTTTAAGGTAAACGAAATATTCAAAATATCAATACCATTTAGATATACAAAAACGACAAAACGGCAAGATGTACGATCTGAGATTCGCAATCAATTAACTTAAAACAAAGTGTATTACAACAGCAAATTCTAAAAAAAATGTTCAAAACAGAAATAAGGCAAAATATAAACTAAACAAAAAAATAAATAAAAAAAAATTAAGCTGCAAAAACTGAAATATTTAGTCGTGTTTTTTTTCTAGAAGGGCTTAACAAATTAAGTTGTTATTGATTTTATAATACTTGTTTTTGGGAAGATCTACTACTACAAAGAGATTTTTAAGCCATTTATATTTTCTTATTAAATACATATTAAATGTTGTTTCGTCCAATTCAAAATTCTTTGTAAATGCATATTATTATCTATTTTTTTCTGTTTTTTAAGCTTCTAATTGAGTTTCAAGCAGTGAACGTTGTACACAGTTGGGAATTACAGTTACCATAGAACATAACAAAGCTCCTAAAATTTCTGTAGACATACATACATATGTAAGTAAATAAACAGCGCATATGTATGAATGCATGTACATACATACATACATATGCTTTTATGCATAAACATTAAAACTCAACAAGTCAACTCTTAAATAACCTTCCAAGCAATGAACATACATACATATGTACATATTAAGAAAATGTAATCGTGAGCAGGACAAAGCAAGTCACTCATTTGCAATGCTGCTCACTCACTCTCACTTTGCTCTTGAGTGAGTCCGCAGTTTGCAATGCATTTTTGAGCAAACAAAAACAAAAACTCAGAGCGAGGGAAAGAGTCAGTGAACAGAGTGTAAAGAATAGAGCAGTCAATTGTTATTTGCAAGTTATGCTGTTTATGCACACATACATGCTTTGATTCGAGAGAGAGCAATTGAGATGGAGCTAAATTCAATGTTAAGCAGTGTGAGTGTGAGTGGGAGAGTGACACAGCATTGCTTTCGATTGCACTAAGCTTAAAACTCTCGTGTGAGTGTGCGAAAAAGCAAATACGAAATTGAGTGGATCTATACACATATTATATGTGTATGTTGTATTGAAAGCCCGCATATAAAACGGATAAATGGCTTAAGAACTCTTTGAATAAAAGAAACTGAGAAAAAATCCTTAAACTCCATTGCTCAATTTGCTAGCTCGCTGATCCATCGACTGATCCGGTTGCTGATGTTGGCGATGATGATGATGATGGTGGTGATGATGATGATGATGTTGTCGCTCAGCTCGACGCTCCTCTTCCACCACAGGCTCCTCCTCCACCTCCTCACGTGGCGTCGATGCAACACTCATTTGAGTAGATTTATCCAACTTCCAACCAATCTCAAGCGGCGGCGAATTGGCCTTCTGAGACTTGAGCGAGAACATGGATCCAATCTTCTTGAGCTTGCTGTGCACAGAGGAATCCACATCGTGATCTTTGCTGGATATGCCCAAGGATTTGGATGAGTGCTTCGAGCGTGTCGAATGCGATTTCGAAGCTTTTGACTTGGACGAAGAACTGGAAGACGAAGAGGAAGAACTCGAGCCGACACTTGTGTGCACCGGCTTTGTGGTGATCCAAATTCGCAAGGCAAACATCACCTCCGCCGTGAGAGCCTCCTTCAGCGAAATCTGTTAACATAAATAGTTGGAGAATGAAAGGTTTCAATAGATCTTTTTCCTACTTACCTTTTCCTCGATGGCCACCGATTTCACGTTCCAGAAAAACTCTGTGCAGCCCAACACCATGGCGGACATCAGGCCCAGTCCCAAGACCAGAAACACGCCGCCGACATTCTCCAGGCCCAGCTCCGGAGTATCAGCGTTGCCCTCGTCATCGCCCTCGCAGCTGCCGCCGCCATGCATCTCCTTCCACCACTTGCGCTTCAGCTCAGCGAGCACGCCCAGCTCACCCAGCTTCAAGACGGCGCCGCTGATCTGTTTGCGATAGGGTGAATCTAGACAAGATTAGAACAGTTTAACCCGCTGCGCTTGGCTTACGTCTAAAATTCACTTACTAAAGGGCATTGCGATACCATAACTCTTGTAATCCAACCAGCCCCCAATTTGCATTAGATCGCATTTGCGCTCCACATTGTACTC